ACAGCAGGTAGAGTCACAGTACCTTACTCTCCCCACCCAAGAGCCGCATCACCTCATTACAGCTATCCAAAATAAGAAAGACCAGCTCTTGCAATTCGCATCCCACCGATGGCAAGGAATTAGAATCCGTGGAAAAATGGTTAAACTCTCACACGAAGCGTCGATGGACACCCAATTTTTCACGATGGCCACCGCTTGAGCTAGATGGACGGTTATCGAGGCTTTTTTTGACCCAGAGGACAGCGACACCATCGCCACCGACACAGCACACTGTATGTTGATTACCAAGAAATTCTTTAAAGAACTGTATACTTCCCAAATCCCATCCCCGCAGGGGGAGGCGAGAATTACGGAAATACAAGAATTTCTCTCCCCAATGGACCGCTTTATATCCCCCCAGCAGCGGGACAGATTGGAGATACCACTCACGAAAGACGAGGTATGGACGACACTCCTCCAAATGAAGGAAGAAAAAAACCCCGGTATTGATGGTTTTCCCAAAGAGTTTTGGGAAGCCACATGGACAGACATGAGCATCGACCTGTGCGAGTATTATCAAGACGTATGGGAGGCTGGGGAAATGGGGGAGATTGTAGGAGAAGGGGTCCTGTCTCTCCTTTATAAAAAAGGGGATAAAATGAATATCAGAAACTACAGGCCTATTACTCTGCTCACTGTAGTCTACAAAATGCTTGCCAAAGCACTGGCTAACCGGATGGCAACAGTCTTGGAAGAGGTCATACACCCGGCCCAAACAGGGTTCATGTCCAGTAGGAACATTCAGGAAAACATCTTACTTGTAAATGACGTGGTCCAACTGGCGCAACGGAATCGGACAAACGCGGCCATCATTTTCATCGATTTCGAAAAAGCATATGACCACGTGGATTGGGATTTTCTAGACAAATGTCTGGAGAAAATGAACTTCGGGCCAACGTTTCGGCGCTGGGTTAAGATCCTTCACCAAAATGCTACTACCTGTGTCCAGGTCAATGGGCCTGTGGCACCACCCTTTGAGCTCCAGCGATCAGTGCGGCAAGGGGACCCGATTGCCCCATACCTCTTCTTAGTGATAATGGAAGCATTATCAGCTAACCTGAGACAAAACAAAGACCTTACGCGCATTAAGATATCCAATATTCCACAGGAAGCAATCCCTATTTGTTCCTTGTTTGCAGACGATTTAACCATCATGATGGAAGCGACAAAATCCAATATGGAGGAGATCCAGCGGCTCATGAAAAGTTCTGTCAGTTGTCCGACATGACGGTCAATTGGGGACAGAAAACAGTGGGTTGGTGGATCCACCATCAGGGGGGGAGACCCCCGGAAAACCCGCGAATCACATGGCTCCCCCARGACGATCCCCTGAGAGTTCTGGGGGCACAAATCACTGCCAAAGGAAAGCCGACAACTAACGATGAATGGTTGGCTGGACCGGCGAGAGCCAAATTGGAAAAATGAAATAATAAACACACTTCGATTTTCGGGAGAACATTGGCCATCAATAATGGAATCCTGGCCACACTCTGGTACAAGGCCATCCTATGGCCTATGAGTAATGGGGGGCTCAAAACACTTAAACAACAGTTGGCGGCCTTCCTCTGGAGAGGCGACAACAACACTCCCCACGCTATAAGCCGAGTTGCATGGGACTCGGTGATCCAACCCAAGAATAGATGAGGACTAGGAATCGTGGACCCGGCCACGCAATTCCATGCCCTCACAATCCGCTGGATCCAACACATTATTTTCTCACCTTCATCCCCATGGGTACCCTTAGCCCTGGCCCAACTCGCAGACCTGGCCCCGAAAACCCCGTTGGAGATTGACCCCCGGGTGTGGTTAGAGGACAGGTACTGGAGGGTGCCTAGGAAATATAGAAACGGAGACCCCGCCGACAAGCACTGGGTGCGCCTTTTAAGTACCTGGAGGAGACTTCCCCCCCCCGACCGTCCAGCGCCAGAAAGGTGGGAAGAAATATTCCGGCAACCCCTCTTCGACAACCGACTGATAACAGACCCCGAAGGGCGGGTACAGTGCAGCTCGAACACGCCCTGGAAGGGCTGGGTAAAACACGGGGTACGGAGAGTTGGGGATTTATGGGACCAGGAAACAAGGAGTTGGAAGAACACGGGACAGATGCGTGCTTGCCTGAGGTACTGCTATCTCACTGAGCGGGCACTAAACGAACTCATTGATAGCTTTCCCCTCCACTGGTACACCACCCTCAAAAAAGGCCCCTGCATAAAGGAGGGAGATTGGGTGGGGCTGCCCGACCGTAACATGGAAGTGGGGCGGGTGCACCTGACTGATCCATCTCAAGTGTTAATAGAAGTCTTCTCCATTCAAAAGGATGATGGGCTACAATGGAATGAACAACCCTTTGTATGGAAGGAGAGAAAAGGGGTATATCGCATCAGGATCATTGAGGAAGGAGGCCACCAAAAAGTGCATCGCCAAATGACCTCGATCGAGGACCTCCCCCTTGACCCTGATGAATGGAAATGGACTCAAGGTACTAGGCCTGGAAAAAGGGGGGCCGTCACGCTATCACTATACAACCTGAAATCTAAATCCGCCTACCGTATGCTAAGACCCAAGAGGGGGCTGCGAGAGCGCGTGGAAGACAGATGGTACCGCCACCTCAACATCGATCGCAGCCTGCTCAAGCCTATTCGATGGTTTGCACAGTACAGATACAGACCTGCTAAGATTTCTGCCCTCCAATGGCAAATAGAACATAGATGTTTACCTACTAACGATTGGTTGATAGATCACACCCGGCTAGAGCAACAAGGGAAGGCACTGCCATGGTGTCGCAAGTGCCTCCAGAGCTATCTTGGGAGGAGGAAGGCTGAAACTATTGAACATATCTTTTTGCAGTGCCCTGCGTCTGTACTACTGTGGAGAACCTGGGATAGGATCTGGCGGCATATCGTTCCCGGTGCGGAATGGCCATGGGATTGGAGGGCTATACTCCTGGGATACTACCCACAAATTCGGGAGAATGTCTTCGAAGAGAATATGTTCAGCCTAGGAAGAAGGAGTGTCCTATGGACCATATGGTGGAAGAGATGTATCCTCGAAATAGAAGGAGCGCGGGTGGAAGATGGAGAAGTTATGGAACAGATTAGGACATTATTCCAACACGAAATCGCGTCCCAATGGAAGGCTGTTAAAGACAAGCTTGACCAAATGCACAACTGGGGGGACATAAACAAAGCCATCTATGGCTTTGGCAAGAAATGGCTGGGAAAGGAAAGGGAAGGATAGGTGGCCGAGGTAAAGTGGTCCAGGAGTGATCTACTGGAGAAGGGGCCACAGGAGGACCCCGGGTTAGAAATAGAAAGGGATTACCGGCTGGTCTTCCATGATTGGACCAATATAGACCCGGGTGAAGCATTAAGGGCAGCCCAGGACTTCGCAGACCCCTTCCCCCCCCATGCACTCTCCTTAACTGAAATTCTGCTACCTGCATAAGCCAAGGGACCCAACAGGAGACCGTTCTTCTATTTTTCCGTTCACCCCCCTTTTAGAAACCTCTGACAACCCGCAATTGTCTTGCTTCAGTCCCCCTCTCTGTACTTCTCCAAAGACCTCAGCTGAATGAGTAGAGGGGAGATGGGACGCTGGACCCGGTTTCCAACACTTAGGCAGCACTTTCATTCAGGTACAGGGCAACAAAGGTTTTCTTCAGTATTCCTCTGTGCTTCTCCAAGTGATCCTGGCTGATTTTAGCTGATTATACTTCAGCCTGCCTTTGGCGCTTCAGCCTTTCAAACGTATGCTATTGTAAAGTACAATGGGAGTCAGGAGGTTAGCTGGTGGATGGCGGAGGCAAGGGGATGGAGGGAGAACCCACTGGTGCCCCCCGGTGCCCCCCCCAATACCCGACCCTGCTGCAGGCTAGGTAGGGAAGAGTAGAATAGATATGGGATGTTGGACCCGGTTTCCAGCACTCTGGTGTCACTCTCATTACGGTACTGTGCAGCAAGATGTAATTATGGGACGCTGGACCCGGTTTCCAGCAGGTGACGCTCCCCACCAATAGATGGAGCGGCCCGCTAGGCAAAGCCTCAATCCCGGTGGTTCTCTTACCACCACCAGGATAGAGGTCTTGCACAAAGGGCCTTAACAAAAAAAAAAAAAAAAAAAAAAAAAAAGAGGAGACAAGGGTGGCGAAGGAGAAAGTGCCGGCAGCCATAGCCGAGGTCGAGAGTTGACCGGAGGGTTGACCGAACGTTGACCGGAAGGTTGACCGAGGAGTTGACCGGGGTCTTGCAGCGTTGACCAAACGTTGACCGAGGAGTTGACCGGTGCCGTTGACCGAGATTTTGACCAAGCTGGAGTTGGTAACATCTCGCCAAGCCCTTAGCCTACCCCCTCACCTTGTGGATGTGCACTCGCCCTACGGTACTTGCTGAGTCTGAGTCTGTCTGTCTCTTCTTTCTGCATCGAGTCTCTTCTTTCTGCATCGAGTCTCTTCTGTCCTAGGTGATAGCACTCTGTGGATGAAGGATAGTGCTTGGATGACGAAACCCTAGGCTGACCTTGTAGGGCTGAGACTGTGGCTGATCCAACTTTCCAGGGGGGCATAACCCTCCCAAGGACCGGTGCTGACCGACTGGAAACGGTTGGTAGGACTCAGTGGGCCTGGACGACAGTTAGGGCTGAAACACCAGGCAGTCTTTAAGTGTTGAGGGCCTGTTTGAACCACTCCCCTACCGGACCAAGTAAGGCTGAGGATCTGTGTCTGACGACTCGACTGTCCCGGGGGATACGAACCCTCCCAAGGACCGGTACAGACCGGCGGGCTGCTCGGTGTGGCACAGTAGGCCGGAAAGGCAAAGTTGTGGGCTGAAAGCACAGGCAGAACCAAGCTGATCACGTCGTCCTGTCTGCGACGTTAAAGAATTCTTGCGGAGTTTGGGGGATCTCCTTAAATGCCTCCAGATCAGCCGTTGGTTCCGTAGTGACAGCCTTAGAGTAGGTCTAGGCTAGTGACCATAGTTGACAGGGTTCTACCCTGTGGTCCTTAGAGAGTCTGTCAGTGAGTCTACGGGTTGGTCTACGTGGTGAGGAGTGGGACTGTGTTGTCGTGCACCTAACACCATGGACGATTACCCGATGTATGGTTTACTTGTTGGGTTCTCCCTCTGGGGGACCCTCTGGCGTCTCCTCTTTCCCCTGGGGTTCTGGCACACATTCACGTGTAGAGTAGATACCAGGGGTGGTGCCTCCACTAAGCCTTATACGAAGGAGGAGGAGGAAAATATGGCCGCCATCCTGAGGGAGAGAAAAGAAAAGAAAGAGGCCAAAAAGAAGGCCCTGATGAAGACGCAGGCGGCCAAGTTGAAAAAGATAGAGGAGGAGATGGCCAGAGAAAAGGAAAGATTGAAAAAAGAAGAAGAGGAGAAACTAAAGGAGGTGGAAGAGGAAGAAGAGGAGGATGAACAGCCACTGGAAAGGAGGAGAGAGCAACGAGGGCAGTACAGTGGTAGTAAAAATGATGAGATGGAGAGGCGGATTTCAGAGTGGGTTGCCAACTTGTCTTTGGGAGAAGAGGAGGAGGTAGCCATGTATATCCCCAAGGACGAGCAGGAGGCCGCCATGAAGGAATGGGACGTGGAAGGAGATGCTTTGAAGCGGCAGGCGATGGAAGATGAGAAGAGAATGGAGTGGAAGTTAAGGATGATGAGGGAGAAGAAGAAGAGGGTGGACGCGACAAGCGAAGCGGTTAAAGAGTTAGGGGAGGTGCAGAAACTGAGTCTACAGTTGACCCCTCAGGTAGATCTTGAACGAAAGGTAGAGATCATTGCCCAAAGTGTCGAGCGCTTGGCCCAAGTACAGGAGGAACAATATGAGTTTAGCAGAAGTCAGGACATGGCCGTGCGCTCGATGTGAATGGGATTCTGGGATTTTGCCCGCGAGCTGGTAGGCGCAGTTGGGGCCGAGGTGAACCATCGCCTCGAGAAGACCGAACGATTCTGCGTTGGCGCCATTGAAGGCGTCAAGGCAACAGCTCCCAGGGAGGAAGAGGCACGTCCTCGTAGGGAGCCAGTCAAGGTCAAGTTCCCCGATTCCTATAGTGGAAAGAGGGAAGAAAACTTTGACAATTGGGAGGCCAACGTGAAGACCTATGTGCACTTGCAGCAGGTCTCCCCAGATCAGCATGTGTTGATAGCCATTCATGCGCTTAGAGACGAGGCTGCCAGTTTCGCACGATCTCTAGTCCGCTCTGTCAACTTCAATGATGACGCAGTTGCCTACTCGACGTTCACTCCCCTCGTCGATTTCATGAAATTGTTGTGCGAGCGATTTGCTGACGTCGCCCGCAGTGTCAAAGCCTCAGATAGGCTTCAGACCATCCATTCTCGTCAATGGAAGAGTGTCAGGGCACTCAAGGGTGTTATGGACGAATGGGTGGCTGTCCCTGACCATGGGGTCACAGAGACCCAATTGGTCAACCTCTTCTACAGGGCTATGCCTGAATCACTGTGTGGCCACTTCTTCGCGAAGAGTCAAGACCCTGCCATGACGTACGACGCACTCAGCAGGGAAGTGGTGGCCTTTGAGGCAAAGTCTGCGTCCGTTTCCACTTTCTGGCACAAAGACTTGGACAAAGGAAAGAAGTGGAAGGGTCGCACTATTTCAGGGCAAGTTAAGACCAAGGATAGTCTTGTCCTTACTTTAGACGAAGGTAGTATCGACGAGATCCTCTACGAACAGATTGAGTGGGGTTTGGAGGATGATGACAGTAGCAGTAGCCAGGGGAGGACCTACGCTGCTGTCGCGGCTGGGGGGAGGCCGCAAGGAGGAGGACGAGGGCAGGGCCAAGGGGGCCGGGCCTCAGGGGGCCGATTTCAGGGCGATCAGGGGGTTGGCGGCAGAGGAGGAAACCGCCAAGCGGGAGGAAGGGGTCAAGGTCCCCCGCAAAACCGGTCTGGGAATAGGTCCCCTTACAGGAGGAGTGGTTGGCATCCAGTGCTGCCTCAGGGCCGGCCTTGGGAAGATTTGGGTTTGGACCAGGGCGTATGGCAACAGCGTGTGGACCGGGGCCAGTGCATTTACTGCGGTGACCCGGGCCACATCATTAAATATTGTCCTAAGTATAGAGAGACCCGATCGGCTGCTCAAGGGCCAAAAGGCAGCCGCCGGTAGGGGTAGCAACTGCCCCTACCATAAGGCCATGTGGGGAAGATAGCGCTAGCCGGCACGAGACTCCCACACCACATGTGCCTATGGCAGAGGTTGCAGGCCGGTGTCTAGATAGTTGTCCAGAGACTGCTTGTGTTAGAGTCTCTCTTRACACCTCCCTCACAGGCGTGGCTGAAGAATTGAAGGAGAGGATGCCCGCCTGGGCCAAGATGAAAAAGGAGAATAAAGGGCAACTTATATTAGTAGATACAAAGATTTTTAGAGGACGAGCAAGCGCCTTAGTGGATAATGGAGCCACTCGTAGTTATATTAGTAGGAAGGCGCTACAGAAGCTGAAGTTGCAGTTAAAGGTCCAAAGATTAGCAGACCACATAGTAAGTATCCTCGCGGACAACCACACCATGCGAGTCGAGGAGTACGTAGAGGGAGTCCAGGCGTATTTCCGCCTGGAACAGGACGGGAAGGTGGAGAAGGTTCTCCATTCCCTGACTCTCCTCGTAGAGGATAGCCTCCCATTCGATATAGTCCTAGGTATGGACTGGGGAGAGGCAGCAAGGGCCACACTCCATTTGAGAGAGCATGAGTGTAGGCTCCCTAGCCCATCAGGCGGCGTCAAGACTGCCCGTCTGTTCCATGTGTCAAGAGTAGACAACTCCCTGGCGCATTGCTGCCTTAGTGTTCCTGCGTTCGCAAGGCTCGTGAAGAAGGAGCAACTAGAGGAACAGGTTTTTGTAGCCTATGTTAGGCCAGTAACTGAGCCTAAGGAAGAAAAGCCTATAAACCCTGCTATTGCCAAGCTGCTGGAGGAGTTTAAAGATCTAGCTGAGCCGCCGATAGGAGTAGTACCGTGGCCTATCCAGCACCGCATTGAAATTGAGCCTGGCAGTAGAACCCCCAAAGGAGCTGTGTATAGGATGTCTCCGCGGGAGTTAGAGGAGTTGCGCAAGCAATTAGACGAGCTCCTCGATAAGGGTTGGATTAGGCCCAGTTCGTCTCCATTTGGAGCACCTGTTCTGTTCGTTCCCAAGAAAGAGGGAGAGATTAGGATGTGTATAGACTATAGGGGTCTGAATGCTATCACAGTTAAGAACGCTGAACCACTGCCCTGAATAGACGATCTTTTAGATCGGGTGCAGGGGTGCAGACATTTTACAAAGATAGATTTGAAGTCCGGATATCATCAAATAGAGGTTCATCCTGATGATCAGTATAAGACAGCTTTCCGGACTAGATACGGGCACTACGAGTTCATTGTGATGCCCTTTGGACTAACCAACGCGCCAGCGACTTTTCAGCGATGCATGAATGACCTGTTTAGGCCTTGGTTAGATAGGTTTGTTGTAGTGTACTTGGATGATATCCTAGTGTTTAGTAAGACCCTCGAAGAGCATCAGGGTCATCTCAGGCAGGTCTTGGAAAAACTGAGAGAAACTAACTTCAAGATCAACGCAAAGAAGTGCGAATGGGCGAAGACCCAAGTGTTATATTTAGGCCACGTCTTAGACGGAGACAGCATCAAGCCAGAGGATAGCAAAATCGCATCGATCAGAGATTGGCCTACACCGCATACGTTGACAGAGTTGTGGTCGTTCCTAGGCCTAGCGAACTACTATAGGAAGTTCGTAAGGAACTTCTCCACTATCGCGGCGCCCCTTCGCAGATTGCCGAGGAAAGAGACTATCTGGAAGTGGGACAAGGACTGTACGTCTGCTATGAAGAAGTTGAAGCAGGCCCTGATAGAATATCCAGTCCTTAAAGTAGCCGATCCGTCCTTACCCTTTGTCGTCACTACAGACGCTAGCCAGTACGGCATAGGTGTTGTTTTGCAGCAAGACGATGGCAACGGTTATAGGCCCGTTGTAGCGGACCTCGGGTTGGCTTGTGAGACCAGCCCCTTGGCCTGTTCTCACAGGCCTGTGTTATATTCGGGGTAGGCCAGTCCAGGCCGGT